GCTGCAGCTCTGGGGGTACCCACTGCTGTTTACTCGGAAATCAGAAGTGAAGGACCAGTGAACCTGGTGAAGGTGGTGCAGGGCTGGACAGTGTGGGGTCACGGCGAGTTGGAGCCAAGTCAAGGACGACTCACGGCTCCCAGGCTCAGGCCTCACGTGGCTATTTCACTGCAGCCCGGTGAAGCCATGTTTTGCATCCCAATTTTAAAGATGAGGAAGTCAACGCTTAGAGATGCTAGACTAAGTAACTTCCCTGAGGTAACTAGCAAGTGCCAGGGCTGTCTCTAGCAACTGCACTCTTAACCATTCTGCAGAGTGCAGAACACCAGCAGTAGGTGGTGACAGGGGTCAGCAGTACATCTGGCACTGAACTAGGCACAGAAATACATTGTCTCCTTTAATACTGACCAGTCCCGTTAGGACCCTGTCTAGCACTGCTGTAACAGAAATAACACAAGTGGGTGACTTTGGCAAACAAATTTACTTTCCCACAGTTTAAGGTCTTGAAGTCCATATTCAAGGTGCCGGTCCTCGTGGAAGGCTTTCTCTGTTTGTTGGCTCGGGGGGAGGTCTTTGTTTCTTGGTTTCTTTGTGGTCTTCACGTGGTGGCATTTCTTCCCCCAGCTCTGCTGCTTGTCTCTGCCTAATGTCTTTTTATACTCAAAGGTGGTTGGCTTCAAATGCACCCTACACTGACATGGCCTGTAAATACAACAAAGCAAACTCACTCTCAAATGAGATTATAACCACAGGTGCAGGGGTATGGAATGACAGCCATTGAAAGTACGTCACCAGGCCTAAAACTCATCACTAAAATACTTTTAAAAAATTTGTTTTCATTCATTTTGTGAATTTATTAACTGTTGACTTTAAAAAAAATAATATATTTTAAATTGTGATTTGGGTGCAAATTTGCAAAGCAGATTTGTTTTACACTCAGCAGTTCATAAACATTTTATTTCATCCCCACCATGGAACGGCTCTCCTCCTCCTCCTCCCTGTGGTTGCTCCTTCCTTGCGTCCTTCTTACCTAGGCATTGCTGCCTGTCCAGCTTTCCCCCTATACAGATGCTGCCTTTCTGGTCTCTCATGGTTGACTGTTCTAAAGGGGGCATCTCCCTGGGGTGGGTGTTCAGCTCATAGGACTTTCTGTTGTTTGGCTGAGAGCTAACCCAGGGGAGAGAGTCTAACTCCAGGACCAAAAAGTAACCTGGGGCCACAGTCTTAGGGGTTTCACCAGCCTCTATCCAACTAGTAATTCTGGTCATTTTTGTACAACACGTATTTTTGGGGGACAG